TGTAAAGCGCTGTGAAGATTGTAATAGCGCTAACGAATGTCACTCGTCACGAATGTCACGAAAGGCGTCACTCTGTTTTGCGATCTCTACATCATAGTCACGGCATCGATGAAGGAGGCGCAAGCAAAGGAGAGCAAGGAGACGAATCCGTGGAAGACAAGATCGAGAAACGCATTTGGAAGATGCCGTGAAAGCCGTCGGCTCGTCCTCCTCGTCGTCGCCGTCGCCCTCCTCGTCGAGCGAATGCTCCTCACCTCCATAGGTACGGCCTCCCGTGCCGCCATCCACTCGCGACCTGTTATCCCCTTTTTTCCATGGGGAAATGGATGCACATTACCTTCACGCGTTCGATCGAAGTCACTCCTCCTGGCGATCGATCGGGAGAGGCATCTCCCTTCCTGGAACGGGTCGTAACCAGTCGGAACTGAAACTGTTCTGAAAATTATAACCTGGATGAACTAGTCCTTTTTAGCGATGTCGGCCCATTCGAGCAAGAGCGCGTCGTTTTTTTCCATTTCTTTTTCCTTTCTCCTCTTTATTTTCTCCTTTCTCCTCAGTGCCAATCCTTCCCGCTCTTCTGGCGACGTTCCGCCAGACGCTCGACAAAAGGACTCTACCTGAGAGAAACGACATCACAAGGGGAGAAAACGACTCGATTCCCTCGTCCACCGACCCATCCTCCGCAGCAGAACCTCCCCGCTGCCCCAAGAATAACCATACCGGTACTCCCTCTCGTAACCTACTGCACCACCCCCCATACATCCACCTCCAACCCACATCCCCCTCTTTCAGACGGCGACGAAGGGAAGGACACCACGGAAGTAGCCTGGCTCTTCTCGTCCAAGGCTCTCGTCCAGATCATCGTCAATCCAATCGTAGGAACTATGACCGACAAGTAGGAACTCACTTGCATTCACACTTTCGTATTAAGATTCTGTATGGATCATCACGGAGCTACATTCAAATAATCAATCCACATTCAATTAGTTTATTCAAAATTCGATTTTAAAATGAATTGATCGATCCACAATCTCTTCATAAATTCATGCTACAGCCCAATATTCACACGTTCATAATTCAAAATCAATTCATTTTTCCAGCCTTAATGTAATTTACCGAAAGCCAGCATTCGCGAAAAGGAATATTCCAGACCAGAAACAGCGACATCAGATGTGGAAATCGAATCCAGTTCTGCTTGTTCTGTTATCGAATCCAGTTTTGACCTGCTTCATTTCCCTCCGGATTCGTACCGTTTCATGCATAATCTGCCATGAGAAGGTTCAGAAAATGAGAAAAGGCCAAATCAAGGCACTTCGTGAAAAAAAAAACGGTTAAGAGTGAAATTAAAGGAATGGCTAAAGGAAATATAGGGAAGCCATGTAAATCCTGAAACAAAATGATTTGACCGTCCCACGCCTTCCTACGAATGATTTCCTCGATCCCCCCAGGATTGGATACGGCCTGCCGCTATCGACGGGACTCATCCTCATCTCCCTCTCGACGATGGGTGAGTGAAGCGATCCGACCTGCATGCGAAGAGAAGGTCCATTCGATCTCTATTCGCAGCGTTCGCGTTCGGGAGATCCTACTGGTTCTTGCTCCTCGCTCGGGTCCTCCAAGGCGTCGGGTCTTCGTGCTCCGCTGTCGCTGGTCTGTGTCTCCGTCGCTCGATTCTCGATCGTTTCTCATTCCAAGCATTGTACCCGTCGGAGCGATGGTATTCGCCGTCCTCGGTGGAAAGCACAGACACCATCGGGCCCTTTAGAGTTAAATCGG